GAGCACATCACTCTTATCTGTTAAGTGGCTAAAGATAATCATCATAATACAATGTGATTTGCAGCTTGTGGACTACAGACACATGGACAGGCAGCCAGAGGAACCCACAGGATGATTTCCTCTGTCTCAACAAGTCAAAGGGAACACAGACTGGATACCGAACGGTAAGAAGAGACATTTAAAATACTGACTCAAATAAATCAGGAATTTCTTTCTCAATAAATACAACTGAAAACACTCTGAAGCAGCTGTTGTCAACTCTGATTTCATAAATGAATTAAATCCTCAAGCCCTAAGGCAGTGACTGTGCATAAAGAATTAATTTCTCTCCTATGCATCTAAAAGGGAGAGCTATGTGCCATGATTTTCCACAGGGCTGAATTCTCTCACAGGACCCAAGCTGAGAAAGACGACAAAACTGAAAAGGTAGTTCACAGACATAAAGCAAAACTCCAAATGGTTCCAACACAGTTCCTGTAACAAATGGTAGAAATGCGACTGTGTAGAAAAAGGACTGTACAGCTATACCAGTGAAGCCAGGAGGAGGAGGGGGAAGCAGATAGTGACCCAAAGATTAACAGAGACCTGGCCACACCCATCCCATTAGGGCCCAGGGCAGAGATGTGCTCTCCAAGGCAATTACTGGCAGGATGAAATTAGCCATCACTCCAATACCCCAAAGGAAGGGCAGCCAAGGGAGAAAGCAACCAGAAGAGAAAGGACCCTCCAGTGTGTATCCTCCATCAAGAGAATGTTAAGAGATCAAGAGCATATACTCTAACCAACTCCCCCACCCTTATTGTTTAAATTAGGATTGATAGTTTCAGTGTGAGCTGACGTTTTGGAGTGTGTGCACATGCATATAAGCACCTACCCACAATCCCTGTGGGTGCTTGTGTGAGCCACCACCGTCATTCACAACAAGAATGGGGAGGCCTCAGCCTCACATCACGAGTGTGGCTAGTCTGCACAGAAGAGGCTTATTCACGCCCACGTGGTAGCCTGCACAGGGGGCTGAAATCAAGTGCAGTTGTGGGAAAGGAAAAAAAAGAATCCCTGGAGCCAAAACCACAAAGCCAACTTCTGCTCAGCAAGACTGCTATTATTCATCCTCTGAAAGACCAAAGAGTAAGAAAATGTTCTAAGCCACACCTTGAAAAATCATGACAGAACAGCATGCCACAGCTTGTGGGAGCAGCACAAAAGATCCTGAGTCACACCACCTCAGGGCGAAGTACTCCCCATATTCCTCTAGCAGTGATTTCTTAAAATCCCACTTTCTCTAATAAAGCCTTCCTAACAAAAACCTCATAAACCATACACTTAAAATATACACATTCCTTCCTGACTTACCTCCTGCTGTGTGTGTGCTTAATGTACTTGTCCCCACTCTCCTTCCACTTTCAATTCCAAGTCCTGGAAGACACAGACCATGACTGACCCAGAAACTAACCACAAGTCTCATGAGGCTGCACTAATAAGAGCTACTTACTGTGGACACTAGCTGGCTTTGAAAAGAAATTCATGGTAGGCCATGTTTGCAAATGGCAGCCTTACATCTTAAGGCATTATTCATATCTACAGAGCCCCCAAGTATCACCAAGACAAACCTGCCAGAAAGAAAAACGGGAGGGGGGAAGTACTACAGAAGTCTCTGATGTAGTCCTTTAAAAACCAGCCAAATCTCCTACAGTTCATGTTTGAAGTAATCCCAGACCGCTTGTAACACATGCTGGGGTCTAACACACACCTAGAGCGTTGCCTCCTGCAATCTGATTTCAAGCATCACTTTATATCATATCATATGTGGGAATAAGGCTTTTTTTTTTTTTTTTGCATTTAAGCAAAAGCAGGATATTATTATAAAACTATTTCAAAGTTGCCAAGACACTGAAGTTGTAGAAATTTCTTTTCCAGGACACAGTCTTGTATTAGGATTAATGGGTTCACCATGTACTTAGAACACCTATCACATTTCTCTTTCAAGGCAGCGCTTAAAGAGGAGACAAACACCTCAGTCCCGCAGTCTTCTGGGGTAGATTGGGAAATGACCGCAACAAAAACTAGAAGCAAGCGCTCTTGGAGGCAGAGACCCACCCGGCAGACCCAGCACCTCCAGAGGAGCGAGCCGCCTGACCACATGCCAACAGTAGGAGAACAATGAAGACTTGTATGTACAATATCACCTGTAAAAATGTAAAACTTATAATCCTTATCAAATAGTCTTGGTAATACCACAACCATGAGGCAGACGCAAACACAGGCTTCTTGACAATGGAGAACGTGGTTCTATTTTCTAGAAGTTACCGATGCCCAGCCTAGGTAGTAACTAGTCAAGAGACAGAGTCCCAGGAAGAAAAGAAACAGGAGTGTCACCTGTCACTCCAGAGGTTACGGGCTTCAGGCCCTCCCACCACACCAGGTCCTCCCAAGAGCTTCGCAGGCACAGAACTGCCTAGATGGGCCACAAGACCCCCTCATTCCCTTCCTGGGCAGGGCTCAGCCTTGACCTTGGTGGAAAAGCAGCCATGAGTAAAAACTTTCCAAAGTTATGTACTGGCACTAAGGAAGGAAAAACTAGAATGACAGTATTTCCTTTGCTGAATTTTGGGTACCAAACCAGCTGCACTAGAAGTCATTTTATAATTAAGAATCATAGAAGATGAAAGATATTTCTGAGATATCCAATATTTCCAAGGCAGAAACTCACTTTAATATTCCACCTCTAGAGCAAGGGGAGAGAGTGACACATAAATGTCCCACTACTGATCAGTGACTCAACCAGAACTGAACATCGCAGGCTCCCCAACTCCTAAACCCAAGTTCTTTCCTCTATGCTACACTGACCCTCAGGACTACATACACACATTTTACAACCCCACACAGTATATGTCAACCTGTCGATTAAAAAAGCCAACCGCCCCACATTTTGACCTTTTTTCCAATGGGTGTAACCTAGTTTATACGCCAAGGTCACCTCCAAAACAAATTAGTATTTAAGGAGCAAAGTCACACAGACAGGATGCAGCCCAGGAAAGACAGCCCGTGGGGCAACTCAAACACCAGTACTTTATCCAAACATGATTACATTTAAAGCAACTTACTCTACCCGAGTTCCTGCACAGCTGGTTAAAGAACAGAATGCTAAAATCTATTGTCTGCAGGCCACTTAGTGTGAGTGAAAACCAAATCATAAGATCCAGTTAGCTTGGGGTCTCCCTTAAATGGTATAAATGAAACTCAAAAGTTTCCCAGGGTTTGTAACAGCAAAGATGGACTCCCACAGCCTTTTGTGGAAGTGGAACTTGAAGAGAACTGTCTGAACTCAGAGATTAGCCATTCAAATGTTTATTTTGGGCTTCTTAATTGACTTGTTCCATGTCTTTGAAGAAAAAAGGTCTTAAATTTATCCCTCAGTCTATAAAAAGGGGGAATAAAGACAACTCCAAAACAGATCACAGTGCTCCAGTGCCTGGTCTTGGCTGACAAGCTGAGGCGCCTTGTCAGTCATAAAAACCCACCACTAAAAAGTCAGTTTTCCATATGCTCTTTGCTCTTGATAACAAACTACAGAGTTGTGGGAAACAAATACAACAGGCATTAAATTCAAGCTCCCACTCCAAAATCAGGTAAACACAGCTATTATAGTGTAATGTATTATTCTAAGAGCATTTTTCTCCACAGACATAAAAGTATCCAAGTAGAAAATTAAATTTCAATTTAAAAATGATCAACAACTTTATCAGTAAGATGGCACATTTGAAAACACTTATCAAATGTGTTCCTTGAAGGCCTCCACCTCCCATTTCTACAACGAGATGGTTCTATTGTGTAATATCACGTGAATCCGGCCACTAGAGTAAAAATCAGATGCTAAATTAAAACAAGTTAGTCGTGAGCATCTGAGAAGAAAGAAAAGTACAAGAGAATTGGAAGTTTTCCCAGTGAGAGCTTTCCTAAGGAAAACACACCAAAATATAATGGGAAACAATACTCTGACAGAAATTCACTTTATTGTAATCCCTTTCAGAATCACATGGTCCCATTATGACAAGACGCACCCTAATATGCATGGCTCGGCTGCAGGGGCCCCACCGTTCTCAGCAGATTGGAAACGGCTAGAACATGACCCAACATCTGCATCCTCACCAGCGCTGAGCCCTTATCACTAATTAGCACTCAGGACTCACTCAACTCATTTTCCTCCTAAAAACTAATGAGAAAGTGACTCTTTTCAGATCTCTTCACAGCCCCTCACCCCCATTATCCGCAATTCTGGGATTTCCTTTTGAAGTAACTACAGTTTTCATCTACAACATTCAAGAACAGTCAGAAAACCACAGATTTCCCATCTTCTCCCCCATTTGGAGAGGGCGGTCTAGAAGGCTAACATTGGGAGGAGGCCTCGAGGATTGGGAAGTCTATGAAGTTGACGGTCACAAGGAACCACTTTCAGTAAGCTCCTTAATTTCGACCACTTGCTGACACTCCTTAGGTCCCACGCTGGAACTTACTATTGTCCGGGCTAGAAGCGTGCATTGTTTTGGAACATTTTCTTGAGCTCTTGCCCTATTTACCATTCAAAAAACCAAAAAGTCTCAGTTCTCATGACTTCACCAACAGAGAGATTATATTACATATTTCTGCCCATTTAAAAACATAACTTTTTAAAATTGCACATTTTGGGAAAACTTTGTGAAAACTGGAAGATTACTAGCCAAATCATGTGTGCTTGCTCATGCTCACAGCATCATTCTAAGAGTCTTTTTCATCCACAGAGGACATGCCCAGAACAGAGCTCACCATTCTGTTTACTGATCGCTGTTACAGAAAAACCGATGTGGTTAGTAAGGTGTGTGGGACTTAACCTCAGTTACATCAGAGTCTGACGGTCTGGGCGTCACCGAGTTCTCAGCGAGCTATCAGTCGCCAAACTCAATCTATGAAGGAGCAAACAGAGACAACAGATGTCCAACAGGATGGAAAGTCAGATTACTTACCTTGTGCAAAGGGAGCACAAGGAACGCTCCTCCCCCACTCGCTTCTATGATTATGGCAACAAATCTGGGATTGACAGCGCAAAAGGAACTATCCCAGGTCACACGCGAAACCCGGATGTCATCATAACACTGGTCATTTTTCACCGCTTGTCCAAAGACATGCCGAAACTTGCTCTGTCGTACCACTCGCCTCATCGTGTCTGTAGAAGAGCAAAGATTACATTAAAATTATACACCTACCTGCAAGCTTTACTTTTACAAATGAAAAGCTCAAAGTAGGAAAAAACAGAATGCAATGGCATTTTGTCTGCTCTCCTAAAAAGTAGCCAAATAACAAATCCCAATTTCCTTTAGCAGTGCATACCCAGAGAAAACTACAAAATGCGTCAGGGAAAGAATTACAGGGAAATGAGAAATTCCTAATTCAAGATTCAGAAACAGTTCATCAGTTTTAATTTCAGGAATAAGATCAAGGCAAAAATTAGCCCCTAAAGGTAGGGTGGGAACTGAAAGATGATTCACTTCAACCCTTCCCACTCCGCGTACAGATAAGAAAATTCCAAGGTGAAGTTATATGGGAGATGTGAAACTAAAGAAAATCCCCATGCAAGTTATGAAACAGTGGCTTTTTCCTGTCTGCCAAGGTAATTTCTCTGTTTTTAGACATTTTCCCCAGACATCAGCACTCTGCCTGAGCACTGTGCCTGCTCACAAGCGTATCCACAAGCCCAACTAACAACATGTCGCAGAGAACCCAAGGGGAGAAGCTAAAAGTGAGGCACAGAGAGGCCGTGACGACCACGGCAACAGCAGCTAGACAGTGGGAAGAAGAGCTTAGAAGGGGGACAAAACCAGGATGGGGGTCATGAGAGAGCTGCTCATTCTCCACAGTTACTTTCCAAGTAAACCAGGGAACCTGGGGCGGGGGGTAGCGGGGTGACACTGAACTGATGCTACCTGGGCTTCCTCAAAGGTCATTTCAGAATAGTCCACTAGATTGTCTGATACCCACAGGCAATGAAAGCTTCGTGCTTTGGGTAACCAGGCCCCACCTGACGGAGGTTTCCTAGACTGTGCTCGCTGTCATTTGCCTGTCTGCTAAAGCAGGACATCTCTGCTCACACTGACTAGGAGGGAGGGACCTGGAGAAAACATAGGTGAAAAGGAAATCTGGTCAAACCTTGATGACTCAGCTGAACGAACTCCAGTCCTTCTGACCCTGTGTGCAGCAGAGAGCTAACACCTGTCCACTCACGCCAATGGGACATATGGTGGACTGCTGCCAATTCTCTGATTTACTTCCTCATGGCCCTGAGCCTATTGCTAAATGCAAAGGGAAAGAATTTATTTTTGCCAGAACCTCCTTCTTCCCTTCCAAGACATGTGCTAAAGTGGCCTCTCTGCAACCCTGGGGCATGTGGCTGGGCTGAGGCAACAGACCCTTGGCAGGCAGAGCTCCTAGCCCAGCTGCCAGACCTTTCCAGCTGACTGTCAGGACCATACATGCAGAGTACTAGGTACAGAGATGCCTGCACTTGGCCGGGGTCCTGCATTTGTTAAACAGTATGAATACCTCCCAAGCACAGTAGGCAAGGCAGCTCCCACGAAGTGGGGAAAGTCAAAAGGAAAGCACATCCATATACAAGCCAATGTACAGCCAGTAGTCTCAGGACCCCTTTCCTCACACAACCATCTGCGGGAGTTAGCAAAAGCTACAATCTCCACTAGTGAGTGTTTCAAAAGTAAGTTAACACAGAAGAAGAAAGGACTGTATCATATACCAAACAGTTAATATCCTGTATATACAAAAAGTTTTACAAATTCAAAGCATGAAAAACCCCATGAGAAAATTACAAGAAGGACATGAAGAGGTAATTTACATATGAAATCCAGCGTGTATCTCCACTCTACCTTGAAACCCTAGTTAAATGACTGCAAAGGAATAAAAACAGGTATCAATACCAAAGGACAAAAGAAAACGGCCTAGAAAGAAGCCTGCAAGAGAGCAAATGTAACAACAAAGTCTGGAAGACTTATAGCCACAGTGTCTGCGTATGTGTGACTGTCCTGTCTGAAGCGTGAGCGTTTACCCGTTCGGTTCACAAAGGATGGCCAGGCCTACTGTGAAACCCCAAGCGCTGAGCAGAGAAACTCTCCGAAGACAAGGACGTGGGAGAGGGGCTGCAGAGAACTGACTGAAAGCTGAATTAGGAGCAGTTGACATGCAGGTCCCCTCCTCCAGTGTTGCACAATCAGGAGACTACCAACACCTTCCCAGAAGCCACACCAAAGGGCCCCTATACAAGACAACACCCAGCACAGGTGAGCACAGGTATAAGCAGGTGCCACAGTAACCACCTGGTTCTGTAAAATGGAACCTCCAGGCCCCTTGCTCCCAGGGCTCCCAGAGCACTGACTGCAGGCCTAGATGCCACCCACCCACCCTGCAGGAGATCAGACCTCACTGCCCTCTCTGAGGTCCACCATTCGACCAGTCACCTCCACTCACACAGGGATCATGCTGGCTTTCTGCACCTCACTTCTAATTGCGAGTGGACATTTGCGGCTAGCTTCTAACTTGAAAATGAGAAAAATTTTCCTCTTCATTCAAATAGGCTAGATAATATGTAATCTCACCAACAATATGAATATTAACATAAACTTGTAAAGAACTTTGAGAGTCTTCAATGATCACACAAATTACTGGCTCATTTATACACAAAAATAGTGTTTTTTTAAGCATTTCCATGTTACACCTAGTGAGAACTTATTTTCCTCCTAACTGCATGGGGTCAGAATGATAGGCCCTGATGCTACACCCATGGAGTAGGGTGCCCACTGCAGAGCAGAGCGGTGAGAAAGGCCAGTGCTTCTACGGCACTGTGCTTGCTGAGCAGGGATGTCCAAGTGGAGCTGGAAAGGCAGTGTGAGACCATTCAACTCCAAAGTGGAACCTGATCTGGGCTTAGATGACTACGTGTGACCTCTGCTTTGGCTACACAGTGTCTTAGGTTCTCCAGGTACACAACAGGGAAAAGCAATTAAGAGGGCAGGTTCGAGAGTCAGGCTGCCTCATGAGTGAGTGAGTAAGTGATTGAGAAGCACAGCCGGGCCCTTTACTTCTGGGCCATGGTTCAGTAGGGCGAGTCACTGATTCTCCATTTAGTGTTGGATTCTCTGCCTGAAAATGGGTACAATACACATAAAGCTCAAGTAATCATTAAATGAGCACTTCGTGATGCGATTATGGCAGGTTAATATGCTGAAGCTTGTATGGTTAGAAACATAACAAATCACACAATAAAGTCAGCTACTGTTACCCTAGTACTTGACATAAGGTAATCTATCTGGGTTCAAATCCAGCTCTCCAAGGGGCCTCCATGGTGGCGCAGGCGGTTGAGCATGGCACTGTGAAGCTGTCCACAGCCTCTGCAGCACAGGTTCGATCCTGGCCGGCCTGCGAGAATCCCACATGGTGAAGCAGACCTCTCCTGTCTTGCCCACTGCTCCCCTCAGCAGTGTATTTCAACAGTCTGCCAGTTCTGTTCCCAACTCTGTCTCAGGTGAATCCTCTCACCCTCCTGCACATCTGGCCTGTACCCCAGTTCTTGTATAAAAATAAATAAATCTTTGGGCCTCCCCGGTGGTGCAGCAGTTGAGCACTGGGTTGCGAAGCTGCCCGCAGCCTCTGCAAAGCCAGTTCAATTCCCAGCTGCCGGGCGAGGGTCCCACATGGCGCGCAGACCTCTCCTGCCGCTCACTGCTCCCCTCAGCAGTGTACTTCGTCAGTCTGCCTGTTCTGTTCCCCATTCTGGCTCTGGTGAATTCTCTCACCCTCCCTCACTTCTGACTGTACCCAGTGCTTGTATAAATAAATAAATAAATCTTAAAAAAATTTTTTTCTGAAAATAAATAAATCTTTAAAAAAATAAAATAAAATCTTATAAAAAAACAAAAAAACAAAAATCCTAGCTCTCCCATGTTTTAGCAAATTATTTAATCTTTCTGACTCTCAGCTTCATCATGTATAAAATGAGAAAAATGATACCTATAATAAAAATTAAAAACAGATGGCTTCACCACTAAAGTCTAGTAAACATTAAAAGAATGTCAATTCTTCATATTCTCCCAAATATTAAAAGAGGAAGACACATTTCCAAACTAACTTTATGAAGTATTACTGATACCAAGATCAAAAGACATCACAAGAAAACGAGGCCTATATCACTAATGAAAAGATGCAAAAATCTTTAACAAAATACTAACAGACCAAAATTAGCAACATAATCAAACGAATTATACACCATGAGCAAGTGAACTTACCCTAGGAATACAAGGTTGGTTCAATATCTGAAAATCAACAATGCAACATATTAAATAAAAACACAAAAATCGCATAATCATCTCACACACAGAAAAGGCATGACAAAATCCAACACTCTCATGATAGAGAACATTCAACAAACTAGGAAGAGAAGTGAATTTCTTCAACCTGATTATGAAAAAACAATTCCAAATAACACACTATTCAGTGGTGAAAGATGCTTTCTCCCTAAGATCAGAAGCTAGACAAGGATTATGTTCTTGCCATTTCTATTCAGCAATGTACTACAGATTCTAGCAAGAATTAGGCAAGAAAAATACATGAAAGACACTCATATTGGAAAGAAAGAAGTAAAACTATCTCTGACTGCAGATGAAATGATCTTCCATTTCTATAGAAAAGACCAAGGAATCCACTAAAAAACTGTAATAAACAAGTTCAGCAAGGTTGCAAGAGATCATTATGCAAGAATGATATATGTATATTTATAGCAAGTAATATGAAACTAAAATAATTCTATTTATAGTAGTATAAAAAGCATAGAATACTTAATATAAAAAAGTCAATTACTAGTCAAGAAGATGAAACAGTTCTACAGTAAAAACTATAAAATAAATAAATGAAAGACCTTTGTGGTCATGAATCAGAAGACTTACTAGTAATATGACAATACTCCCCAAACTGAGCTACAGAATTAATGCAACCCCTGTCAGACTCCCAGCTGATTTCTCATGAAAACTGACAAACTGATTCTAAATTCATATGGAATTATAAGGGATACAAAATTAGCCAGAATAACCTTGAAAAAGAAGAACTGGTTAAGAAGATTCATGCTTCCTGATTTCAACTCTCAGCACAAATCAATGGTGATCAAGA